TGAAGTCTTGTAGAATCTTGCTATAGAAGTCATCTGGTCCAGCCTCCAACCCAACCACCCCAAAGACATCGCACCTTTGCAGGAAGGAGCCCTCCAGTGGCAGGAGGTTGTCACTTTTGTTACAGAGGCATAACAGAATGACCATGTGAATGATCACTGATTATGAAACAATAATTAAAACACCTGATGGCTGTAGTTGTTTTGGTGTTCGCACACTTAATTTTCCCTGTCTTCCCCGGACTCCCGCAGAATGGCTTACTCAGAGGAGCAAGGAGGCGTCCCCTGTGGTTTCTTCCGCCAGAATTCCGGCAACTCCATTTCCCTGGACTTCGAGCCCAACACAGAGTACCGGTTTGTGGAGCAGCTGGAAGAGCGATACAAATGTGCCTCCTGCCACTCGGTGCTTCACAACCCCCACCAGACGGGCTGCGGCCACCGCTTCTGCCAGCACTGCATTCTGTCCCTGAGGTGAGCGGGCAGGGCCTGCGGCTCTGGCCACAGCATCTGAGTGTTTCTGGCATCTCAGTGTCAGCTGTGGCCATACGGTTGTACCCATGGTTTTTGGAATTGCTGTGGTCGGCACAGAATCATGAATGTAAGGAGGGATTCTCTCAGAGCCCCCCTGTGAGGGCCTGAAGAATAATCTTCATTTTTTTTTTTTTTTTTTTTTGCCACTCAATTCATAGATATTCACCTTTTCTTAAAATTCAGGTTGCACCTGTTTTTCCTAGGAGAGCAGACCTAGACTCTGTCATGGGGAGCTGGCTGTTGGGAAGGGCTGTATCTCACGGTGTCTGTGTTAGAGTCACCCTAACCTTTCCTTGCCTTGAGACAGAGGTGCTGTCGCATCCAGAAGGGACCTCACTGCCGTGGGTGCTGTCTCCTCCTGGGCAGCTCTAAAACCTGGGCCATGCCATTTTGAGGGGGGAAACCAGGAGAGATGAGAAGGAGGCTTTGGAGGCTCATGCAGGGGCAGTAAGGCAGTTGTTTCACGCTGCCAGGCTTCGCAAGGGGGTTATTACAGCATGTTCTCATTCGTTCGTGTGTTCTTGTATTCAGCACATGTGTGTTCCAGGCACTTTGCTCAACTAAGCGCGTGTACAGAGGTGAGAGTTAGAGGTACACAGTGTGGACCAGGACCAGACGTCTGCCCTCTAGAATGTCTCTGTCTAGTGAAGGAGAGAGGTGGGGACCAGTGTGACAAACAAAGGAGAAGGGGACATTTAATTCTGTCCCGGTGGCTCAGTGTTTGTGTCCTGGGAGATGAATGGGAGTTTTTCAGGCAGACTGAAAGACGGGAGAGGCTCTGAAGGAGGGGTGCGGGGGGCACCTTCTGGGTAGAGGGAACAGCATGTGCAAAGACAGGGAGCAGCCTGCCTGGGGCTGGAGTGCTGGGGCTGCTCTTGGAAGAGCTGTTGGGACAAACACCTAACTGAGGCTCCATTTTAATTTTTCTCTCCAGAGAATTAAACACAGTGCCAATCTGCCCTGTAGATAAGGAGGTCATCAAATCTCAGGAGGTAAGAGAGTTACCGCTTTCGTTTAACAGCTCTGTGGGTGATGGAGAAGCAGCCAGTGTCCTGGGTTGAATTGGCCATCGAGGTTGGAGCAGGAGAGTGGTCAAGGGGATTACTTCCTTGGAATCCATATTCCTCTGCTGGGGGGTCAGGTCAGACCCTACTCCCACCCCTGTTTGAGGGGCTTGTTTGGGTCTTTACTGACCACACTCTTGCCCCCACCCTCAGGTCTCCTCTCCTGCTTCTTCCTCACCCGCTTCCTCCAAATAGCTCCAGTCACATTTTGCTGCTGGAACAGAAATGGAACATGCTGTTCCCTGGTATTCACTTTCTCATCTGGTTAATCCCTAAAATTTCCTTTTACTATTGTGATTACGTTTAATAATAGCTTTATTGAGATGTACTTCTATTTCACCTATCATAAAATGTACCTTTTAAAACATGCAATTCAGGGCGCTGGCGCGGTGGCTCACACCTGTAACCCTAGCTCTCTGGGAGGCC